CAATCTAGTTAATCAAGCATTGGTTACCTTCTAGTTTCTGACTCGTCCGCACTTAACCAACAACCCAGCATACGTGCTCGGTTGGCCTTGTTTTTCTATTCGTTACCTTTACCGATTTTACCTGTTGACTACCTTACGGAGCCTGGAGGGGGCGAGATACCTTCGACGTGATATACAGAGGACCTGGATGGTCATTGAACCTACGATTACTTGGAAGACACTTAGGGTAAGTGTCCTGTCTCGAAATACAACTAACTAGAACCCTAGGTACGATATGAGAGAAGCCAGGTTGTGACACATTCGTACCAGCGGCATGGATACCAAAACATAAATCAGTGGGTACCAAATTTGAAGACGGGTTGATTCATCTGTACTAAAGAACAAAATTCAAAGAGAGTCGTTCAGAAAGCGGCTTACTTCTTGTAAATAAAGCATTCCTGTGACAAGCTTGGCCTATCCATGTCCAGCATGTTATTTCCCAGTAGAGGGACGTGCAGTTTTGACAAATGTAGAGAGTAACCGCAGATGGTTCTTACCGCCGGAGCCTTGTTTGGGGTTTGGAGGTCGATTGGACCCAGGATCGGATGCGAAAAGACGGAAAAGGTATGTTACTATCAGGATACATATTATTGGATTATGCTAATATACTCATTAGGAAATATATTCACATGGGTCAAATTAATTTTGTGATGCCGTTCAATGTGCATCCGGACGACATGGGGTTGGTTTCAATACATAATAGCGTCTACAGATGTGTGGCGTTCGTTAAAAACGAGGAATTACGGAAAGGGACCGCCATAAGAAAGCCAAAGGCCCTGGGAAGATACTAAAAAATGTGGACCATGGGGGCCGAGAACTTTGGTACAAACAGAAAGTGTCTTCTGAATTAGGGTCGATGCCTACTGTTGACTATATGAAGGAAATTCAACGATCTGCTACCTTCTCCGCTATGTCCTGGCGACAATCACCCATGAGAGACGATATAGAGTACCCCCTGATAAAGTCTGATCAAAGAGACGTGTTCAGGAGCATCCTTTTGATCAAACCTACGGTGCGTGTAGGTGAACGCCAAATGTCACTTTTGGTCACGAGGCCTGGCCCAATACAACCGTTAGATGTTATGGATACAGACTGCTCTCGCACATATAACATTTTCCAGTCGTGCAACGGAAATGCAGATCCCTACTCCCTGCATCTAATTCAGCCATGGCCATTGAGTCCAAGTACAAGAATTTTTGTGGATAGCATATGTTCTTCAACGTGGGAGACCTGCTCAACACTAACTGTCACTCCAAAAGAAGTGACCAGTGTGGTAAGCTTAACTAAGTTAACGTAATCTATCACCGAGAGGCGCATATCACCGAAAGGCGCGGTCGGCGGCGGTTTCCACTGAAGATTACACCCATATTTTCAAACCTACTTTTCACCAAATTATCCATCATGAATGAGCTTTCTAAAGAAGAGCGGATGAAATTAGCTATTGATGCTTTTAATCAAGGCCAGTTTCAATCTAAGACTGCCTGTGCACAAGCATTTGATGTGCCATCAAGAACCTTAATGAAACGCCTGAATGGAGTCCGCTCCCGCAATGAATCCACTGCAAATGGCCGGAAATTATCAGAACTTGAAGAAGATACACTATCTAGATGGATTCTAGATATGTATGAGCGTGGCCTACCTCTCCAAATATCAAATGTCCATCATCTTGCCCAATTACTCCTATCCGCACGTCTAAAATCGTCCGAGAAAGCGACCATTGGTGAGCTATGGGTTAACCGGTATATTAAACGCCGTCCTGAGCTCAAATCTAAATATACCCGCCGATATGACTACCAACGTGCCAAAGGCGAGGATCCTGAGTTGATAAACGGCTGGTTTGATCGCGTTCGAGAGACCATCGAAAGATATGGCATTCTGGAGCAGGATATATACAATATGGATGAATCTGGCTTTCAAATGGGAGTAACATCAACTGCAAAGGTCATCTGTGGCTCAGAGACTAGAGATAGCCATGTCAAATCTATCCAGCCTGGAAATCGCGAGTGGACTACTATAATAATCACCATAAATGCCTCCGGATCTGCTCTACCTCCGCAGATTATCCTGGCCGGGAAAAGGCATCAATCTCAGTGGTATTCAGCTATTCCAAAGGAATACAGAATTAGCATGAGTGATAATGGCTGGACAAATGATAATTTGGGATTTGAATGGCTTCAGGAGATGTTTGAGAAGCATACTGCCTCTCAGACTGCTGGCAGATATCGCCTTTTGATTCTTGATGGCCATAGCAGCCATGCAACTGCAAGTTTCGATCATTTCTGCACTGAGAGGAAGATTATTCCATTATATATGCCTCCTCATTCATCTCATCTACTTCAACCACTTGATATAAGTTGCTTTGGGCCGCTCAAGCACTACTATGGCCAGAAAATCAGAGAGATAGCGCAAAATGGCATCCATGCCATTGATAAAATGGATTTCCTATCTAACTACACCAAAATCCATGCTCATGCATTCTCAAAGGCCAACATACTAAGTGGATTTGCGGCTGCTGGTCTTATTCCTTTTAAACCGGAGAAAGTGCTTGCAAAACTCCATATCAAGCTGAAGACACCAACTCCACCTTCTTCCTCATCCAGCAATCAATCCTTTTATTTAGGAAGGACACCGGCCAATCTTTATCAGTTGAATCAGCAGAAAAAGCAGATTCAAGACCTTCAAAATCAGTCTCTATCTTCAGTTGTCGCGGACCAGATGCTTGAAAAATTCATGAAGAGCACAGAAGTTGCAATGCAGGATGCTGTTCTATTAAAACAAGAACTCCATCAGCTTCGCACTTCAAATAAGCATCAGCAAGAGAAGAAGAAGATGACACGAGCCTTTATTCAAGATGGAGGGAGCTTAACTGGTGATGAGGGACTGCAAAGATTGAGAGAAAGAGAGGTGCAAGAAGAGCCATCATCAAGATCACGGCGGCCTGCACGGTGCAGCAATTGCAACCAAGAGGGCCATAATAGATTAAAATGCCCTCTTAGATAGCAATAGATTTAATAGATTCGGCATGCTTTATAACATGGAGAGGATACTACGTAGATGTACGAAGTAATTAGTATGCGCCGCCGCCGACCGCGCCTCTCGGTGATATGCGCCTCTCGGTGATAGATTACGTTATATGATGTTGCTTACGTTATGGCGGCTGCTTGAAAACATTTACCCCTTTCATGGGCTTACCCATAGCGATGGAGAACTTCCTGCCAAGGAAGCCCGACGCAAATACACAAAAATGTGGTAATGAGGACAGCTGCCATAACTCCTATTCTACGGGAAGTTGGTAACACGAATGGCTTGGTAACGGTCTTGAAATCCGAGTATCTCATTGCCACAATGAACAAGACAGAAGAGAGGGATCGAGTCACATTTCCCAGTCGGCAACCATCTTGGTTTATGATCGTATATGCGACTATCTGTGACTACGCAGTGTACCCGACATAATCACTAGCTCTTGTGCATCTCGTGCAAGAGGAGAAGCGGAAGGTTCCTGGTAATAACATCCAATGATGAGCTTGCCGGTGGACAAATCTGAATTCTAGACATTGCGAAATGCGTTGATTATCGTTGTCCCTCACAGCTCGGCTTAGCGGAGACAAATTACCATACATACAGATTTAGCTTTTCTTTCGCAGCAGCATTGGTTTCGAATGCTGGAATGTTGGTCCTAAGTGGGATATCTTCAGGGAGGCGAGATACAATCTTCCATTGCGTTCGCCTCTCTTCATCCGAACTCAGTGGTCTATCATCCAAAGCCGATTGTCAATCTGAACAGATTAATCCACTTTCTAGGAGCAGAAAGCAACATTGAAAGGAATTCTAGGCTGGCCGACACGATGAATGGTTAACGACTGCTGTCCTGAAGAATCAATCAGCCGTATCCGGCACTGATTTGGCTATTGTGACAATATGCTGCTAAGTTTCTATGTGTCTCAAGGATAATGTATCTGGCTGTAGCAGCCACTATCTTGGTGCGTGACGCTTCTTGTTGTATGATATGTGTAGCTGGTTGTTATATTAATTTTCTCTGATGTCTTTGGCCGGTCCGTGAAGCATCGCCACTTGGTGTCTCACGTATCGGGTATCTGTTTGTCGAGATCAATCCGATCCTAGCCGCTCTGTTATTACAGGACTCGCTCTGGACCAGGCCGAGATGCATGGCAATCTGGTTGTCATACCAGCAAAAATAGAAGTTATATATCGCTTGTACATATGTCTCTGATGCTGTGGTCGAGAATTGATTATACCGGGTTCAACAGTTCTTGATAAGGACAGCGTGACAACTTGACAACTCAGTCGATATTAACTCCACAAACATTCAACCCGTTCTATTGTGCCGACAACGAAGTCCCAACAAAAGTTCTAAGTCCGAATTCTTTTTCTGAGTGGACAGCCACTCCTCCCTAATTGAAGAGGGACCTCCAGACGGGGGTAAAACGAGACGAAGAGATCGAAAACAAGACCGGTGTCGGACCTCACAGGCTATCCCAGTCTCACTGGAAGTTAAGCCATTCATGCCAGGACTGGTCAATGCACGCAACTATTGAATATAGACTTATAACATATGGTCATGTGAAGATTGCCAACACGAGACGACAACGGTCAACAGAATCTGTATTGCCCGGCATGTTGTCAGTTCGATAGGTATTCCGATATTTCGGGGTAGTTCCGTAGTCAACTGGTCTAATCGAGATCTGGAAGCCGTGATATCATCGGAACCCCTATTTCCTTGATCTCTGCATTGCCAGTATGTATTCCCTACAGAGCTCTTCCGATGTCTCAATATTCAGTCGGACTAGCCCGGATCCATGATTTATCCATTACAACCGATCTTCGCCTCAATCACCCTGTACCCTATTCTGGACTACTCCGGAGTGCGCACAGCCACCGTTATAACCTGATTGCTCCGCTAGACTACGGAAGTACCTCGGCACAACCCTGGAGATATTTCGAACCAACGGTAGACCGCCGCGAGTCGGACCATGTCTCACCACAGCCCGGAATCGTCAGGCCAACACATCGATTTGAGTATGGGGTGCTTTCGATAATTTCTCAACGGGGTAAGCCCCTCCATAGGGCACTATGCAATTACCCCTTATGTACTAAGCTAACCGGTTTGAGATGTTTCTCCCGCCTTCTACTGTGGGTCCATAACGGGACCCTAGGCTAAAATAGCTAATAATAGCCTGCGATCGTGGTTAGCTTCATGATTCCCTAGTTTGTAAATGGTATGCCCGGCAGCTCGATCGAAAGTATATAAGGCCGGTATTTCCCATCAAAATCAATATCATCATCAACAGCAACTTCAATCCTCTACAACTCTATCTTCAATCTTCTCAACCTCTTCCACAACCTTCAACCTTCAAGATGCAGCTCAAGAACCTCATCCTCGCCGCCTCGGCCGCCGCTACTGTCTCTGCTGCTCCTGCCGAGGGAAAGCCCTTCGGTGTTCTCGTCGTCCACTCCGGCAGCGGCGTGCAGAACAGCGGCTTCAACGCTGCCAAGGGTAGCCTCTTCGCTGGCCTCCCCTCCCAGAACGCCAGCTGCGCTCGTCCCGAGGACGGCCAGACTGCTACCTTCTACATCAAGGACGGTGCTCTCTTCCTCTACGACCAGTCCGCTACTCCCCAAGAGTTCTACGTTGACCGCTCCGGCATGGGTATGTCACCATCCTCTCCTTCCTTATATTCACGAATATATGGCTAACAAAAAAATAGGTCAGGGCAAGATCGGCTACACCACCGGTGCCCAGCAGCCCCCCAAGAACGCTGAGCAGAAGGGCTGGTCCATCAGCGAGCAGAACTACCTCCAGTTCGACGGCAGCAGCCCGATCGCTTGCCCCAACAGCATTGACGGTGCCTACAGCATCTGGGCTTCGGCTGGTGTTAACAACCCTGCTGGTAACAAGGACTGTGTTGGTATTGCTGCTCATGTTCTCGAGAGCACCAACCCTAATGCTTGCAAGTACACTGAGTAAGTGGTTGCTGGATTGACATATTTGGGGATATGTTTGTACATGAGTTATAATGGGTAAATAATTAGATTTTGTTTTTTGTTGAGCTTGAATAAGAAATTGCTTCGCATATTTTTTCCCACGTATAAACGTAGATCCTATCCTTGACCAGCAGCAAATGTCGAATGACTCGACGGTTTATTCACAGCTACTGTGGCGCGGGAGATCTCTTGCGCAAATTACCATGTAGGGAAGTTGATATTAGACATGTATGTGAGGTGAATGGCATCCCCGAAGAGAAACCCTTTATCCTATCTTCTTCTTCCACCACTTTGCCATTATCTGCTGTACATCATTCTACTGCTACTGTTGGTGCTTGACATGTAGTACGCTAAGAGTTTGCTCTTGGCACACATACAGAGCAGGAAGTATATAAGTGAAAACCAGAAGATCGATGGAGGAACAAGCGATTCGTTCCTCAGAATACCAAAGTTACCTTAAAAAACCATTTCGATAGCAATACGTAGCTGCTCTACTGCAATAGTCATTTAAACGCCTAAAGCATAATCTTCCCGGCGCTACACTGTTCAATAAACCCCAGCAATGGGCAGACACCTTTGTGACGGCCAGGCCACGTTGGCTGGCTATCATGTGAGATGCAGTTGTTTGCTTTGTTGATAAATACGGCGTCACCTCCTTTCTTCCTCATGTTGATTATTCTCGTCGATAGCTACCTAGGTAGAACCCATGAGTTGGATGTTCCATTATCCTAGTAGAGCGCCGTGACAATGACTACCTACTCCGCACCAAACTGCCTCCAAGAATGGTACGATGATATTATGCTGCTGAATGCTTTGATATACCTTGCCTCTACGTTTTTGACCACCCAACTCGTGCTGGTTCATCTGTGAGAACGACGCGCTAGTACTGTACTGCTACAAGCTCTGACTTGTGGCCTATATAAGTTCATGAAGACAGCTAGGGTTTTCCTAGCCCTACCACACTCTCTGGTTACTGTGCCTCCGATGTTGAATAACATGTTAACCACCTCACCCATGCTGATCTGCCTACAAGAACGATGCAGCAGCACCCGTACGCTAGTTATATGCCGGTACTATATTGCCAAAAAGCTCTGACCTGCGCTAAGACTGTCCTGCCATTGAATGTGTTTGAATACAAGGAGGTCAGCCACGCTGACCAAATGCCTAGGCCCAATGGGACTAATAGGCTACGAAGGCACAGATTGGTACTGTCGGATGCAGAAACAGTGTCACCCTTACGAATTGTTTGTCTCCCTATGCCAAGCACTTAACAGTGGAAGTCGAAATATCATGCTCTCTCTGTCACGGAGCTCAGCCAGGTTATGGAACATCAACTCATGTGTTCTACCTAGATAGCTATTGACGAGGATAATTGACATGAGGAAGGAAGAAAGGAGGTAACGCCATATTTATAGACAAAGCAACAAAGCAAACAACCACATCTCATGTGATAACCAGCCAACGTGACCAGGCTGTCACATTACCCCCCGGCTTCAATAGACATTGTCCTCAATGTCATGGTAAGCCACAGGTAAGAAACATGAGAGGAGAGAAAAATACATGAGATACTTGAAAAGAAAACATATGAACATATCCAACATCTCCAGGGATCAATCATCAGTCGCTGCTACCATTCCTCTCTAAACTCGCAAGCATCTGCTGATTCCATAACTTATCAGATTCCTTGTGTGCTTTCATGGAACAGTTCTTCACCCAATGGTCAGGGGAGCCGCATCTCACACAGGATCCTTGTTGTCGACGTCTGTTCCTTTCATCCAGGGAGGTGGACGATGCTGACAGAGAGTTGATATTGACAACACTGAGATCCATAGGATCAGACTTGGTGTGAGAGCCAGATTGGTGTGAATTAGAATGGGAAACATTGGTTGGATTTGAGCTGAATGAATGACTTCCCAGTTGTTGCACCACGCGAAGGAATTCAATGTAGGATTTTGGAAGATTCAACTGCTGATTGAGGCGTCCTCTGAGAGTAGGATTGAGGCCTTTCCTGAATGCCGAGATTTTGGTAACATCAGGCCAGTCTTTGCCCTTTGCCTCATAGAGAATCCTCTCGAACTTGGCAATGTAGGCTGCCACAGATTCACCACTATCCTGCCTTAGGGCTAGTAGATGATCTTCAGCTTCTTGAATCTTATTGGGGTTGTCATAAACCAGAGATAGTTGATTGAGAATAGTGTTGTAATCCCAAGTGTTTGTGTCTTCTGCATAAGATAACTGGGGAAGAACTAAAGCTTGAACCTTGCTCTCCAGATTTAGATAGACATAGTAGAACTGAGCCACTGCATCACCTATAGCTGGGGCATCAATCCGAAGCTTAGCCTTCATCGAAGCAAGCCAGGTATCAAACTTCAAAGGTTGACCATTGAATTTCTCGGGATCGGGAAGGCATGGCTTTGGTCGTTGAGGTGGCTTGGGTTGATTTTTGATGGATTCGATCTCATTCCGGAGGGCTTGAATTGCGGAAGAGAATTCATTTCGGAGTTCTTGGAAAGGGTCCATTTCAAAAGAAATAAAAGTTGATTGGTCGATGAAAAAGGTCTTGAAAAAGAAGGAAATGTAAGCTTGAATCTTGAGTCCTGAATCTTGGAAAACTTGACTTGAGGGTGTGTTTGCCAGCTCTGCCACTGCTTCTGGACTTCTTGCGAGAGTTAGAACTTGAAACTTGAATGGAGACACTGTTATAGCCTGGCCAGCTCCCAAACTGCGGCACCAGCGAATCCCTTGATGGGAGAAGCCTTTGGTATTTCTCTCCCTAAGGTGTAAAAGGAGGATGTCAATTATTATGTCACGGAGCTCAGCCAGGTTATGGAACATCAACTCATGTGTTCTACCTAGGTAGCTATTGACGAGGATAATTGACATGAGGAAGGAAGAAAGG